CCAGGCTGTTTAGGGGATGTGGAGGCCCCTCTAGAATCTACCTAGGGCAGCACAAAACCAGGATACACCACTATATATATATATATATGAAAAACAAAAAGCCCTTCTTTATTAGTATTTACAAAAAAATAATACGGGTTGATCCAAAACATTGGCATCAACCTAAAACAAGCATAGTGTATAGCGGCAAACCCCCGCCATACAGTATTTCGAGTAATAAAACCCATTACTCAGATGTAGGTCCCACGTAATGTGTGGGAAACGCGTGCTGAGGGTAATCGATCTGAGGTGAGCCCTACTGGAGGCACTGCTAGTAGACTGCAGGCTCTGTCAATCATAGCCAGGGGAGGTGTGGCTAGGGCTGCATAAACAGAAACAAAGTGATTTAACTCCTAAATGACAGTGAATTGAGCAGTGAAATTGCAGGGGAATGATCTATACACTAAAACTGCTTTAGTTAGCTAAAGTAATTTAGGTGACTATAGTGTTCCTTTAAATTAGATAGTGAGCTCTGTGTGCTGCTCTCTATTTGCCATCCACTTTCACCTTTCTCTTAGAGGTCAATTAGTTTCTATTAAGCCCTGCAGTGTAACTTAGCAGTTTATAGAAACAAATAGATATCTATTGACACTTATCTTTTAGAGTTATGTCCCAGCTTGCAATTTCCGTCTGTTGCCAGTGTTTGTACTCGCACTAGATGCTCTCTCCCATGCCGGGCTCCCTTCGGTCTATCCAACGTAACCGCCTGAAACTCTGCCCGATGATACCTGCTCCTTCACGCGGCACCAGGTACTCACCTCACAGTGCTCCGAGGTACCCTGGTTATCGCCGCAGCTCTACACCCTATTCCAAATTATTATGCAAATTCTATTTAAGTGTCACACAGATTAAATATTTAGTTTTTCAGTTTAACTCATGGATGGCATTGTGTCTCAGGGCTCTTTTGATCACTAAAAACAATCTCTGACACCTGTGATAATTAGATTGCCAGGTAAGCCCAATTTAAGGAAAAACTACTAAAGGAGGCTGTTCCACATTATTAAGCAGAGCACCATTTTCATGCAATATGGGGAAGAAAAAGGATCTCTCTGCTGCCGAAAAGAGTGAAATAGTTCAATGCCTTGGACGAGGTATGAAAACATTAGATATTTCACGAAAACTTAAGCATGATCATCGCACTATTAAGAGATTTGTGGCTGATTCAGAGCACAGACGGGTTTGTGCAGATAAAGGCACATTGAGGAAGATTTCTGCCAGATCCATGCATCGGATCAAGAGAGCAGCTGCTACAATACCATTACATAGCAGCAAACAGATATTTGAAGCTGCTGGTGCCTCTGGAGTCCCACGGACATCAAGGTGTAGAGTCCTCCAGAGTCTTGTAACTGTGCATAAACCTTCTATTCGGCCACCACTAACCAATGCTCACAAGCAGAAACGGCTGCATTGGGCAGAAAAATACATGAAGACTAATTTTCAAACAGTCCTGTTCACTGATGAGTGCTGTGCAACCCTGGATGGTCCAGATGGATGGAGTAGTGGATGGTTGCTGGATGGCCACACTGTTCCAACAAGGCTGCGACATCAGCAAGGTGATGTTGGAGTCATGTTTTGGGCATGAACCATGGGAATAGAGCTGGTGGCCCCTTTAGGGTCCCCGAAGGTGTAAAGATGACCTCTGCAAAGTATGTGGAGTTTCTGACTGACCACTTTCTTCCCTGGTACAGAAGGAAGAACTATGCTTTCCGTAATAAAATCATCTTCATGCATGACAATGCACCATCTCATGCTGCAAAGAATACCTCTGCATCAATGACTGCTATGGGGATAAAAGGAGAGAATGTCATGGTGTGGCCTCCATATTCCCCTGACTTCAATCCTATTAAGAACCTTTGGAGCATCCTCAAGCAAAAGATCTATGAGGGTGGGAGGCAGTTTACATCCAAACAGCAGCTCTGGGAGGCTATTCTGACATCTTGCAAAAAAATTCAAGCAGAAACTGTCCAAAAACTCACAAGTTCAATGGATGAAGAACTTGTGAAGCTGCTATCAAATAAGGGGTCCTGTGTTAAAATGTAACGTGACCTGTTAAAATGTTTAAAAAGTTAAAATGTTGTTATAAGTTTGATTGAAATAGCTTTTGATTTTAGTAAATATGTAAACACAACAAAAGACAATTTTCAGTTCTTTACAACCTATAAAGTGTTTTGGAACTTACTGTGAGTAATAATTTGGAACAGTGCATTGTAAGTTTCTTATGTTTAAAAAAAATATTGTTATCATTAGGAGGTTTGTTCAATAAAATTTGAATTGTACTCTTAATAGTTGATAACATGAGAATTATGCTGACTGTTATTTACATCAATTATTTATGTAAATGAGAAAAATATCATTTGCATAATAATTTGGAACAGGGTGTAGTCGGGACAAGTCCTTTCCTCCTGTTTGGCTCCCTCGATCACTCCCTCAGCCGCACATGCTACGTCATCTCACTCCGCCCCCCGACTTGATGATAGAAACATTTAAAAAACTACCACAACAAGAGGACATAGTCCTAAATTAAAAGGGGCAAAGGCTTAAAAATAATATCAGGAAGTTTTACTTTACTGAGAGTGTAGTGGATGCATTGAATAGCCTTCCAGCCAAAGTGGTAGAGGTTAACACAGTAAAGGAGTAGTGATGTCGCGAACATGAAATTTTCGGTTCGCGAACGGCGAACGCGAATTTCGGCAAATGTTCGCGAACCGGGCGAACCGCCATAGACTTCAACAGGCAGGCGAATTTTAAAACACACAGGGACTCTTTCTGGCCACAATAGTGATGGAAAAGTTGTTTCAAGGGGACTAACACCTGGACTGTGGCATGCAAACTCCGATCCGCGGCTGCAAGATTCCCACGGTATTAGAGAGCTATCTACTAAAAGGCTGAAAGACCTAAGTTGGTCTTTCAGCCACATTTACTAATACTAAGTAAAGATTACTTAGTATTAGTAAATTCTGCCCCTACTCGCTATGCAGCGAGTAGGGGCATGTCTAGTAAGCAGTGAGCAGCCAGTGGCTGCTCACTGTAAAAAAAACAAACAAAAAAAAACCTATTGCCCCCACCCCTGTGCGACGGGTGGGGGCCATAAAATATAATGGGGGGGAGGACCTACTGTCCTCCCCCCCGGCCCCAACCCTGGGTGGCGGGTGGGGGCCATAAAGATAATGAGGGGGGGGATCTACTGTCCTCCCCCCGGCCCCCACCCCTGCGCGGTGGGTGGGGGTCATAAAAATAATGAGGGGGGGGACCTACTGTCCTCCCCCCTGCCCCCACCCCTGCGCGGTGGGTGGGGGCAAATAAATCACAATGGGGGG